TATTTTTTTAAATTATTATTAAATTTTATTAGTTTTAATGAACATTTACAGAGATTTTGGGTTTTCATTCATTCATTGTTGCACTATTTTCTCTACCCTCCGGGATTTGATTCTTAAAAGATCCCATTCATCTACTTTATCTTCTCCTGGTTGCAGGTTTTTCAGGATACTTGGAAGACTGTTTATGTTGTGGATTAAGACTTCTACCGTTGTTCCTAGCTTTTCTTGAATGAAGTTTATAGTCCTTGGTTTTAGTCCTAGGTCCATGATCCACCTTGAGTTGGCTTTTGTATATGGAGTGAGGTGTGGATCTTGAGTCTTTTGCAGAAACTTTTCCAATTCTGCCAACACCATTTGTTAAAAAGGGCTGTCATTTCCCCACTTAACTGATTTCATCTCCTTGTCAAAAATCAGTTGACCAAAGACAGATGGGTTGATTTCTGGGTTCTCAATTCTATTCCATTGATCCATGTGTCTGTCATTGTACCAGTACCAGGCTGTCTTTACCACCACGGCAGTGTAGTAGGATTTGAAATCAGGGAGTGAGATACCTCCTACCTTTCTTCTATTTTTAAGGATTGCTTTGCTTATTTGGGGCTTCTTTCCATTCCAAACAAAACTGGAGATTGCCTTGTCCATCTTGTTGAAGAATGGGATTGGTATTTGTATTGGGATTGCATTAAACATGTAAACTGCCTTTGGTAGTATTGCCATTTTCACAATATTGAGTCCTTCTATCCATGAACAAGGGATATTCTTCTAATTGTCAAAGTCTCCTTTTGTTTCTTGTAGTAATGTTTTGTAGTTTTCTTTGAATAGGTCCTTTGTGCTTCTGGTTAAATTTATTCCCAAGTATTTAATCTTGTGATTAGCTATTTTGAAGGGTATGGTTTTCCTTAGCTCCGGCTCTGTATTCTCTTTGTCACTGTAGAGAAATCCAACTGATTTTTGTATGTTGATCTTGTATCCTGCTACTTTGCTAAATAGGTCCACTGTGTCCAATAGTTTTCTTGCTGAGTCTTTAGGGTTTTCTAAGTATACTATCATATCATCGGCATAAAGAGATAATTTCACCTCCTCTTTGCCAATCTGGATACCTTTTATTCCCTTGTCTTACGCTATCTCTAAGACTTCCAAAACAATATTGAGTAAGAGAGGTGATAGTGGGCATCCTTGTCTAGTTCCTGTTCTTAAAGGGAATGCCTTTAACCTCTCTCCATTGAGAACAATGTTGGGTCTCGGGTTTGCATAAATACTTTTTACAATGTTGAAGAAATTCCCCTCTAATTCTATTTTGTTGAGTGTTTTAATCAGGAAAGGGTGTTGGATTTTTCAAAAACCTTTTCTTGCATCAATTGATAGGATCATGTGGTTCTTGTTCTTTGCTTTGTTAATTGGATGAATTACATCAAATGTTTTCCTTATGTTGAACCATCCTTGCATACCTGTTATGAATCCCACTTGGTCATGGTGAATTATTTCTTTGATGTATCGTTGGACTCTACTGGCCAGTATTTTATTCAGGATTTTTGCAACTATGTTCATGAGAGATACTGGCCTATAATTTTCTATTTTGGTGGTGTCTTTTCCTGGCACTGGTATCAAAGATATGTTTGCTTCATAGAATGAGTCTGAGAGAATTCCATCTTCTTCTGTTTTCTTAAATAATTTATGTAGAATTGGTAACAGTTCTTCTCT